TAAACTTATATTTTCGAGTGTGGTTGGATCTTTAATGCACTCATGAGTGACTCTCTCCTTAAACACCAACCTATCAGCTATCATATAAAATGTTATTGATGTGCATTGCTTTGTTCTCCGAATATTACATACCGACATTCTATACCAAGCCATGTAATCATAATTAATTTACAACGATGAGGTTTTTCTAGTTTACATTTTGAGTATGCTTTAGCAAATATATCCTTATATATTATCACCATTAGTCTAGTATCTAATCACATTGTATCTGATGTTTAAAATAAGCCTTCTATATTCATATATTCATCCTCTCGAGCGCAGGTGTATTGTATTTACCACTGGGGTGAATTAGGTCATTGCTTAATAAAGTATTGGCGTGCTATTACCTCCTTTTTGCCAATTAATAGATTTCACAGGGTGTTAAAGATTTCTGGTGTTTTTCCAATAGCACAGGTGTGGAAAATATGTCAGGAAAAGTTTTGACAACACGTGTATATCGTATCTTCCGCACTTCTATATTGAAAACAAAACATACGCACATACTTAAGTATACAGTTTTGGGATAATGTGCTTGATCATGAAATTTTAGAGAACAAAGTAACAGATTAACAATCTTTGACTGAAACTAATCTAATTCTTCCCATCAACGCTGGCGCTATTAATCAAACATTATATAAGTGCATATTCAATGAAAAAATCAATAACATAAATCGTAACTAGAGTTTTTCGGGACCACCAGCTGAAAACTGTGATTAAGGCTTTATATTATTAATATATGGTGGATTAATTTCACGCTTATAGCTATTTGCCTTTCCAAAAGTCAATCTTCTCTAATGCATCGGCATGGCTTGTAGCTTGATCCATTCATTCGCCATTCATGTGGTCAGATCAGGCTAAGATTGCCCTACTTTCGTCATTGGGAACAGTGCCCTAGTCTAACGACAATACATCAACAACACTCGATGATATCTGCGCTCCATCTGCAGCTCCTGAATCAGCAGTAAGCATGGCAAGTTCTCCATTCTTTTCTTTGCTATCTATCCAACAGCTAGTGAATCTCCGGTTTGCAATTTGACCTACCTGTTATTCTGATATTCCAACTCATGTTTATATAATCTCATCAATGTAAAGGTATTTTAAACCTTGAAGACAAACGATGACTGTTGTTTGGAGATTTTTTAACGGTATCGAGGGAAACTGTTTTGTTTGTTGTGAAGAGGTCAGTTGCCATTGCGACTACAGAAAGTACTACAGCATGAGCAATCATTGTAAGGGTTCCCCTTTTACCATGGGTATATCCCATCAAAGTATAAGTGTTTTAAACGTTGGATAAAACGGCGACTGCTGTTTAAATCTTTGCTAACGGTCAGTATGAAGAGGTCCGCTACCATAGCGACAACAGAAAGTACTGCAAAGCGTAAGACGTTTCTTTTACCATTGCTATGCTATAACATACGAACAATGCTTCTAACGTCATAGGTTCAAATATTTGGCATTATAAATGATGAATAAATGCAACTTGTAGCCTGGTGATTGAAAAGTACCACGCTAAAGGTTTGTTGAGCCAAGATTATCGTGCAGATTCGCTATACCAATCAGCCAATTTGACGATAGCCCATTTTGCAATGAGCATCAGTTGCATGTGATTCGGGGAAGCATTTCCATGTATCGCAGGGATAACACATGTTTTGCTCTTTATACGAGGATACCACTCAAAACTATATAGACCACCTGAGACTGAGTCTATGATCACATGTCTATTTTTAGAGTGTCAATAAAACCTTCAAAAATGTAACGAATGTACGGATTGTTGTTATCTTTGCATTTTTACAGCCATAGAGCAATACGGGATTCATGATAAATCAAAACATAATACTTTTGTTTTACATTAGTGGCTGTTTTGGACAGGAAGATGTGCTGATAAATAGGATTTAATACAACATATGTATTCAACATGAATATTTACAATTATAAGGAGTACGTCTGATATGGTGTTCTTAATGCGATTTACTAGATATTGTCTTGGGAAAACTTCACAACAGGCTCTTCTATGGTATAAAATACACGCATAAACGGTACTAGTTACGTTCTGCAAATGACTATGTAGATCTCTAACAGCCGTATATGTGGTTTATATCCATGAACGTTTGCACGTAATCTTATAATTGTAGAATGATTTAATATGATGATATTTCAGGTAGTATCTCGGGCATCAATCGCACTGGCATATTGTCGCCAGGGGAAACCTACCTGAAAAATTAAAGGCTAGCTCAGCAATTTTGAGTCACCTTTGCAATCAATAACCTGTTGTAATTTTCTTAACTTTTCTTGCTGAGATATTTCAATCTCGATTACGGTTTTCCGGGAGCCCGCTGACGTGTATTGTAATCGGCTATTCCAATATTAGGGTGTACCAATGGCACCCTGCATTGCTATATCATTCTAACTTAATATCCGTTGCATTCTGTTGAAAGTTTTTAAACATATACTTATTGTCCAAATAATCCCGAGGCTTACAAATTATACTGTTGCACTTATAAATAGGCAATTTTTGAATAAGCTATTAGGCAAGAAAAAGAAAATGAAATCAAGAATTGAGCAATATACATTATGATCGGCTCTTTCTGATCGCTATCCAAAAATTTAAAACGAATTGCATGGTATTGGTAGTACAAGTTTCTGTACTGAAAGTGGAAAAAATGGGAAACTTGACAAATTGGCCCAAGTGCAACACCCTGGTACTCCCTGATCTTGGCATAGCCAAATTGTTATCCTTCCCAGCCAATCAAATGACATCTATGCCTCTATCTCGTGATGTTACCTAGAAATATTCTACAATATGGCCTTTGGATTGAGGTTATGTTTCTCTCTGTACAAGCGTAGACTGTAATGTAGGGAGAGGTCAGACCATTCCCCTTGTGTAATATACATTATCTTTAAAGCCTTGATACTCATCGTCGCTGGCGTTACGCTGACTATCACGCTGATTTCTCCTCCTTATCAATTAAGATAGCGGCTTCGCAGGATATTAACCGTTTTCTCATCGCGGACCATTTAGTTTGATGTGTGCAAGACAGGAAGCGCAGACGTCATACATCATGAGATGTAAGTCCGATACGTGACCCGCAATTATGGGATGGGTAGTCAGCCCCGGTGCATTTAGGGTACGTATTGATTATCGGACGTGATAGCTACAAGAGGCCGTGTCTGGGAGGTGGTCGTGTCGGTACGTAAGATCCTTCGTTTAGGCAAAATAGCTAAAAATTGTACACTTTTCAGACGGAATATGTCAGCAAAATGTCGTTATAAAACTAGATAAGTATCTTGGCAAATTTTGGCTAAAACATATATTACGTAGAGATGCTTTTTGATATTAATCTGTAATTAGATATCAATGACTTACTTGGTGTTTCAGGTAGGGAGGCAGATGTTTGTAAATATGTAATTAATTAATGCTAGCACATTTTATCTGTTATTTTATTCTCCACTGTGCAGAATGTTTGAACACATGTATTTACATCACGTGCGGACGTTCGTTATGGAGCAACATGTCTTCCATATCACCCAGACAACTACTGTATACGTGCTTGCCTTGTACATGTAGTATCTACGTTTGACTCCAGGATACATCAACTGTAACAGTTATTCCGGGAAAGCCAGCGCACAATTTGCCTGTTTTGGTGATTATCTGTATACTTTGCTCTTCATTTTTTTTTCTTCATTCCCGTTGCATCACTCTTACAGTAGCATATAAAATTCATTTGTGTAAATTTTAAGTTGTATTGATTCTAGCATATTTACTTTCATGTCCTTTATAATTTTGTCACTTTCGCATTGCGTTTGCTTATACACCAATTTGAATCAGTTTTGTTATGTTTTATCTGCGTAGTTAATTTATTATGTTTCATGATTGATATTTCCTACGTTTCAAGGAGGAGGGCCTTGTACAAGCCTTGCAGTCTTCCTTCCTCCTTCTGTACACTATTTTTCCTTTGTTTTGCATATTTGTTGATTAATGTTTTTTGTGCAAATAGATAAATGAAAAAAAATGTACAATTTTGGGACGGTATTAGGGGTACATGGAGAAAGCATTATGATTTTCGTGAAAAGAGTACTTGTTATATCCTCATGGGTGCCCTTGGATATGGAGAAATATGTTGCATGTTCCTTCGTGAACTATTTTCATTCTTGAACTCGCAAGCCATACCTAGAGATATATTTGTAATGCTAATTGGCTATTTTGCTAATCGGCCAAGCTATGTCACATGGCCCTAATTAACAGATGATTGATATGCCATTCTAGATGCACTGTAAATTTGCTCAGCGAAAAATGAGGCAAACAATGCACGAGTGGTTTTATATGGCAACAGATGGCCGGGGACGTACATTACGACACCCGTTATTGCACACGCCATTGGAGAAGTAGAGTAATGATATTTTATTGTTTTACGTTTTACGGATCCTCAAGCAGAGACTCATGCAGCGTGGCTAGTAATCATTGAAGAACAAAAACACTTAGTGTAGCAATGATGTCAAGATGTTCGATTTTCCTAGATCCTTGTTATAACAAAGTCGTGAAACTACCACACGGTCTTTAAGTGTTGTACAGAAGTTTCTAGATAAATGAGCTACTATGCAAGAGAAACATAGAAGCATGTCCTAGACGGCAATTGTGTGCAGACATGCGGCAATCGCATGCAGACGACGCTGCAATGCTCATCTGTCAACATACCCAAAACCCATAATCCTATACCAATATGCAACGCTAACATGCTTTCTATCAAATGCGATGTTCTAGAAAGATTTTATTTACATCCGACCGTTGTTTGTTGTAACTTGTATGCATGGTTAGCATTGTCTACATCTTACCATTGTGTATTGTCCGTCTACAGGTACCTCTTAGTACGTGTCATCTGCCCTCTGGTCTTATAATGAGCACATCATGTTAGTCATATTGTTGATCTTTGGTTTACTAAATCTTTTCTCATTGTAATCCACAGGTGGAGCTACGCGTGCGCACTGATGTCACCATCTCCTTCCCGGCCCTGACTCGGGCTCGCTCGACGCAGGGGAAGTCATGCTGCCGGGCGAGCCCTCCCCCATCCTCTAGGAGCCAACCGATCCCGACCCGTAGCCGCGTAGAGGTCTCCACCGTAGCCGCATCAATAGCCATGGAGCTAGCCAATAGGAAAGACATGGGGAAAGAAGACTCCTTTACCCCGCTTGCCTTAGCCGCCACCCCGGACGTACGGGAGGTGAAGCCCGTGCAATGTGTGCCAACATCCACCGTGGGCACGGGCTACACCTCATACCGCAAACCGTCCCGGTTCCGACGGTTTGCCTTGGATACAGACATCCATGGCATGAAACACCTCATCAAGCGGGGACCGATCCGGCGTACCGCCTGGGTGCTCATGCTACTCCTCTCTCTCGGCCTCATGTCCTTCGAGTGCATGGAAAGCCTTATCTATTACTTTGAGTTCCACCACGTCACCAAAGTGGAGCTTCAGTACACGAACAACATGACCTTCCCGGCGGTAACTATCTGTAACATGAACAAATACCGGAGGTCAGCGCTTGGCATGAGGGATCTGGCCACTGTCGGGCCGTACATAGGTAAGGTTTACTCTCACACAATTGACATTTTGCTTTAAAACAAGCACGTGTAGGATCAGTATAAAAACTTTGTCAAACAAGTCAACTTCAAACGAATCCCCTGAATTAGACACCACTCCAAGACTTCAAACATCAAACATCATCAAAGAGTTTATAATAATGCTGTTGAAGGGATAAAAAGTATATAATGACAAACCATTTGGTTTGTATGGCATTGCAAAGATCAAAGCTATTTAAAAGGTGCACGAACAATGACTAAGGACCATCAGTTTTTTTCATGACGTCACTTTTGAACAAATGATATTGACTTAAATGCAAATATATTCTAATTAGCAGCAAACAACAATATGCTATGTTTATTCCATAGATGAATATACCCTAATGATATTCACATGAAACATGTATGTAATGAATTTAGACACTGTCAAAATGATTGTCCGGAGAATATATTCTTGACGAAGATGAAACAATCATAAAAGTGTCTAGAAGATGCGGATAATTATACGTCAGATTACAACTTGCTATAAAAATTCCTATGTATATTCTTGCCGAAATTTGTCCATAATGAAATTTAAAAAACTATTTGACATGATACTTAAACTTAATATAATAACTCCCTAATGAATGAATGGATGCGTAACGGGTTCAAACTTCCCCACAAGAAAGAAAATAAAGTAAGAGGACACATATATATTTAAGACGTTTTGTTGCTGAGATGTAATTCTGTGTAGCTAACATGATTTACAGTTAATATCAAGTAGAAGAGGGCAAACTAACAATTAAAAGTACTAGTTCTTTAACGTCGACATAGAGGTTGTTGAAATGAAGTGAGTGTCATCTTTCTCTACTGTAGTCCTGATAAACTTAAAAACGACCTTATCATGTAGCAGGTGCCAACCAAAAACAGATAGCGTTTACAGTAGTAACTGGATAACTGTGTTCACCGTTAGTCAATATGTACTGGGCTGAGATGTCCTCCCTACATCCTGAGAGAAACATGTAGAAGTATTGAGAAGTAGGGAGAGAAGTATGTAGCAGAAGCTGTGCTCTGGACTTGCTGCATTGGTCTGCTTCTGCAGATATAAATACTTCTACCGTGACCCAACATTCCTATTCCGGATCCGTCAGGGTGATGGCGGAAGTCCCCCGGCTCAACAGCGCCACGGATCCATGAAATTCATATTGATCCAGCTTTAGCTTGGAAACGCTATGGGCAAAACCATTTATACCTTTCAACATCCAGCTGTCACGTATATCTGATCTATAGAGGACGACCAAATGTTTTGCGCCCTATCATAGTATGGAAGGACACAAAGTAGTCTGAGCTGTGATGATAATACTTTGTAAAATAAATTTGTTAATACTTGATCGCTACATAGTATTTCGCTTGCATTGTTATCAGACACAAACATAGACACTTTGGCAGTATTGCTACGCTTAGCAATCTAATATCTACTCTTCAAAGTTCTTTAACTTTACCATACATGTAGAATCATGATGATAACCTACCTGATACACTGTTTTCAGGTTTCTTACTAACAGTTCTCTAATCTCTGCAATTTTTCTGACATTCAAGATTGCAGCTGTAATGCTCGCGAGATCGCTATGGAGGATTTTTTTCGTAATGTAGTACGCAATTTTCCGCACCCTATTATTAAACTTCATCTACATAATCTTAAACTTTTGTGTGCTGTCCTAAAGGGTTTCTATGTTTGTTGTGTCCTTTCTCTATTATTGTCTTTTAATTATCTGGATTTTTTGTGCAATTTTCTGTTAATCACGATCCCCATGCTTGTTCTAACCTTGATTACGGTGTGAAGACCACAAATTTATCTTCATTTAGAATAAAACGCTGGCTGACATCACTTGGTGCAGGGGTATTGTAATTAGTTGTGTAGAGAACAGATGGTACGCGTGTTCACCATTGACTCTACTCTGAGACCATTACATTCACACAAGTACTAGATGCCACCAATTATTAGCGACATTACCCTCACTACGGTCCGAGGAATGCCTTTGTTTTCAGCACTGATTTAGTCGTTTGGAAATATCGACCGTAAGGAGAGGCTGATATTCATCGATTACCTTTGTAGAAAGTACAGGTGTGTGGTCCGCACGAATTACGTTTTTTAAGTGTCAAAACTTTTATTCGTAGATATTGCAAATGCACAATGATCCTACACACCCATCTAATACAATCATACATAATCATGCCATTTAAGTGAAAAACTGACTCCTTGTGGAGCAGTCAACGACCCAACAGGCACACCGAGCAGGCATATTTGCAGACATATCGAAATATTGATGAAAGAC